CCCTCTCAAAAAAAAAAAAAACCAATTATGTCTGGGTAAACAGTATATGAGACATCTTTATGCTTGTCTCCACTTTCACCTGTTTGAATTTTCATCATAAAAAGAAATTTTAAGTTAGTAGGGTATCATTATTGTCTTCAACAAATATTTACTGAGCAACTATTAGGACTAAAATTACGAGGTCCACAAAGACATCAAAGAAGGTCCTTATCCTTTAAAAGCATTAACAATCTGTCCAGAGAGATTGGGCATATATATATATAAAGATAAATGATATGCATTACGTCAATGACTTATGTAAATAGTTAAGTACAACAGTTCAAAAGAGATACCAACTGTTGGACAGCTTCAAAAAGTAAGACTTCAAACTTAGTACAAACAGATAATAATCAAGACAGTGCAGTACTGGCATAAGGATAGACATATAGATCAGTGGAATAGAACTAAGTAGCCAAAATAAACCTTATATTTATGAACAATTGATTTTCAACAGGGTGTCAAGATAATTTCATTAAATCCAAAAAACAGTCTTTTTAACAAATGATGCATGAATAACTGTATATCCATTTGAAAAACATGGAGTTGGACCCCTACCTCCCACAATAAACAAAAATTAACTCCAAACAGATCAAAGACCTAAACCTAAGAGCCAAAACTATAAAATTCTTAGAAGTAAACAGGAGTAAATATTTGTGAACCATGGGTTAAACAATGATCTCTTAGATGTGACACTAAAAGTACAAGTGACAAAAGAAAAAAATAGGTTAATTGAACCTCATCAAATTAAGAACTTCTGTGCTTCAAAGGGTACCATCAAAAAAAGTAAAAAGACAACCAATAGGGGAAAATATTTGCAAATTATGTATCTGATAAGCACTTTGATCCATAATAACTCTTAAAGCTCAGCAATAAAAACACAACTAATCCAATTTTTAAATGGCTAAGAGATTTGAATATCCAAAGAAGATAATATAAATGACCAATAAACATGTGAAAGGATATTCAACACCATTAGTCATTTGGACAATACAAAAGAAAACCTCAATGAGATTCCACTTCATAATCACAAAGAAAACTAAAACCAAGAAGATGATAAGTGTTGACAAAAAATATGAAAAAATTGGGATCCTCATGCATGTTGGTGAGAATGTAAATACTATAACTACTTTGGAAAACAGTTTGGCAACTGCTCAGACAGTTAAATATAGAGATATCATATGACTCAGCAATTCTATCCCAGGTTTATACCCAAGAGAACTGACAATGTATGTTCACACAAAAACTTGTACATGGGTGTTCATAGCAGCAGTATTCCTAAAGGTCAAAAAGTGAAAACAACCCAAATGTCCGACTGACAAATGGATATATAAAATATGGTATATCCATACAATGGAATTGTATTGAGCAATAAGGGATGAAGAACTGATACATGCTACAACATGGATGAGCCTTGCATACATTACTCTAAGAGAAACACACTAGACACAAAAGGACACATATTATATTACATTTATATGAAGTGTCCTGAATAGGCAAATCTATAAAGACATAAAGTAGATTAGTTGTTGCCAGGGGTTGGGGGCAGGAGGAGGCTGAATAGCAAGTGATTTAATGGGTTCAAGATTTCTTTTGGTAGGTTAGGAAAAAAGTGATGATGGTTATATAACTATGAATAGACTAAAAACCAATGAATTGTACATTTTAAAAGGGTAGATTTTATGGTATGTTCATTATATTTCAATAACTTTTTTTAAATCTATAGTAGAAACTTTAAAAAGAAAAATTAAGACTTGAACTAGGATAAGGAAACAATGTAAGTTTGTACAGGTAGAGAAGAAGGTAGACAAGTTGTTCCAAGTAAGGAAAATAACATGAATTGGCACTCAGATGTGGACATATATGTGGCATGTTCAAGGAATAAATTACTACATTGACTACAGAGTATGTTTGCATAGGGAAGTAAGAGTATATAATGCTGGAGATATCTATAGATAGTAAAAGACAGTAGAGTGTACAGGACATTACTGGGCCAGAAAGATGTGAACTATAACCAAACTTACCTAATGAAATTCTAACTCACACTACCTGACATTCCTAGGTAAAATCAGGAAGTCCAAAGATATGCTTTTTGATTTTACATAGATATAAGCAACATTAAATATAACTGAACAACTTTCAGGAAGAGCCCCTGGTTTCTATTCTTAAAAACCAAACATCATATAAAACACTGAAGAAATCTTAGCTTTTGATATTAAACTTACCAAATCTTCAGGAGTTGCCCGATGAACTGTTAGATCACTAACAGTACTCTGCAAAAAAGATGAAATTTCTTAAAAGAAAAAAAAAGGTTTCTTACAAAATATCAGTATTACTAGATTTTTTAAAAATAGGATTTCAATGTTTAGTCACTTTCTTTGGATAATTTTCTTGCAGGAAAAAATTCTCTTTAGACAGGTTTAAAAAAATGATTTACGAAATTAGTTTTAGTTTATTTTTGATGAATTGATTTTCCTTTACTTTCGAACACCTTTTTTCATTAGATTAAGCCTTCTGTGCCTTTTTCCCTATGGGACAGATGGGTCTCAATTAAAAGACTATGCTTTGAATTAAGCATACTTAATTAAAAGAAACCTTTTAATTAAGAAAAAAAAATCTTTCCTTGAAGAATTAAGGGGTTTGATCATCTCATTTTAGCAAGCTAAAATTTTTATTTTAAATTGAAATAAAACTTGTTATTTTTATATAAAATAAATGTATTTATTTAAATGAAAATATTAGTTTTATGATTCAAACTTATTACCATTTTCTTTCATATTTTTCAGAAAGTTATGCCCTGTCCATGTGTATATTTAGGCATGAATATGTAATGGATTTTAATGGGTAAAAGCAGATTCAATATCCTGGGACCAAAAAGACTTTATCATTCCAGGAACCAGTATTCTCAATTTAAATATTAGTAACAAATACTTTTAGACATCTTGTAGAAAATAACACTATTTTTAGGTGTCTTACAGAAAATAAGCACCAAATTCATCAATCAGGCATACATTACATTTAAACAACAAAACAGGGTAGTATTCAAAGTTAATAACTTAAGCTTAAGTTATACTTTTCAAACTGTATTCCATGGAATGAGACACCTCTAAAGTTTCCTAAAAGATAAACTGTGAGAAATAAAGACAGGTTCAGTGTGTGTCCATGAAAACACCTTAAGTATAGAATCTATCATAATAAGAGATGAAGTTTGAGGCCACTGTATAATCTCATAAAATATGAAAACGGTCACTCAAATGAAAAGGCACTAAACCAGCATGGCAGGGCTACCACGCTGCACAACTCCAGGAGGCACCATTAGAATCCCAGTCCGTGTAAATACAGTATCCCTCGGAATTGTGCCGTATATAGCCTACACGGCTCTCACTAGCTGTCCTGCAATTTGGCCCTCTCCAAAATAACTTCAGCTCTTTTGTTTTAGAGATTTGGTAAGGCAGGAATAAAACAACTTAGAGTTTTAACTCTAAGAGAAATTTAGAGAACTGAGTCTGATGAAATAGCTTCTAATGTATTCAAAAGCCTTAACTTTTTGGCCACAGTTTATATTTAGTTCAAGGCTTTTTTCAAAACTAAAACAGCTATTCTTTTCATAATGAATTACAAAAGTATAAGATACAACTATAAGATCATGAGAATTCTCTTTAATAATCAAAATAAGGTTTAAGCATATAAATAAATGATATGCTTGGCTTTAGTTTTCATGGGAGAAAATATATTTTCATTAATACTATTATTGCTTAAAACTATTTTCTTTTTGAAATTGCCTATAAATCTAATCCACAAACCATTTCAGAAAACATCTCACTGTTTTCATCAAAATGGTATTATTCAGTCTGATCTCTCCCCTTTATAAACCGTTCACTCCAAATGACTTATAACTACTTTCAAGTTCAGTTTACAAAAAACAAAGGTTTTTCTAGCACCGGAGATAATAAAAAGTAAATTCTGATTGTAATTTCAAATGATGGGTTTTTCAAATATGTTTTGAGCAAGAGCAGTGCATCAGAATAAATACTGAACTTCCCAAAGTAATCACTCTGAAGGAGACAACTTATGTGCATTTTTTCTCCATTTACTCAGAACCTTATATTAGAACCACACCCTTAAAATATTTTATAACAGATGGCAACAAAGTAATATAAACACAAAGAAATCCCCGCTGTCCCACTTCCAAATGCTGTCAGTTTGGCCAAGATGTCTGGCTAAGGTGATTGGGCCAAAACCCGAAGTTTCCAAGTCTGAAAGAATCCCTGAGATTCAAACTAGTCCATAACTAGCTCTCTACAACAGAGTGTAAAGGCATCTAAAGTCTCATGGTCTAAACTTAAGTACCAGGCTACAAACAATAAAGATATCCTCGGTAATTCCAAGCAGTAATCAGGGTGGGAGCCAGGGACCATACGTCCCACGTGTCTAAGACTTGCTTTCTATCTTAAGAGAACCTTTGTACTGAAACTGACCAGCCTCTGGAGATGAGCAACAAACAAGTGAGGAGAAGGAGAGCAAGGAGCACCCACTTATTTCAACCAAAAATGCCACTCGCATGATTATGGTATCATTGGTTGCTATGGGTAAGTCTAAAAAAGGATGAAAAAAAATTTAGATTTTACTAGTTGCCTTTTAAAGCAGTGTGTTCTCCTTTTTTTAAAAAAACACACTCCCACCCCCTTAAGATTCCCACTTTTCAAAAGAGGTAGAGGTTACAGCCTCAACATGTACATTCTAAAAAGATCCCCAAAAGATTCTGCTCTTTCCTCCAAGGCCTAGAATACAACATGCCCAGAAACTCATTCCACCCAATACATGCTGAGCCTCATTCAGAGCACCATCCTGAGTGACTAGGGCCATGTCATCACATCTATTCCTTCAGAGTGATGTTACTCTATTAACCCACCTACTTACATCCCATTCTTGCTTCACTGACGTTTTCTTCTTCTTTACTTTCAGTGCTTTCCTTCCTCCTCCCCGGGGAACGTAACGGTTCACTCTGACAAATGACATCTAGGAGTAATAATCATATCAGGTTTTTAAAATACAGGAAAAAGTATCAAGTATCACCAGAGGGGGACAAAGACATCTAGGAAAATAAACTTTAAAACACCAGAAGGAAAATTTAAGCAGAGAGCTTTAGGATAGCAGTCATAAGCTTTGCATCAGTTACACAGATCCACAAATAGAGAAAATGTTGATCACTAACAACATGAATGCAAGAGGAGAAGGGCAAAGAGAACTGGAGCTCTTTTTTAAGCATTCGAACACTCAAAATCACCAGTGGACACGTATGTGCTTAACTTACAACTAAGGTGGCTAAACTTTAGAGAACACATGAGTTGTACCATTTCTAGCACATTTTTCATATACAGTTCACCTTTGAAAAACAGGCATTTGAACTACATGGGTCCACTTCTATGTGAATTTCTTCCAATATACTGAAAAATTTTTTGTAGATTCGTGACAATCTGAAAAAACATTTTCTTCTCTGTAGTTTACTTTATTGTAAGAATACAGCATGTAATATATCTAACAAACAAAATACATGTTCATTGACTATGTTATCCATAAAGGCTTCTAATCAACAGTAGGCTATTAGTAAAGTTTCTGGGGAATCAAAAGTTATATACAGATTTTCAGCTTCACAGAGCTCAGCACTCCTAAGCCCCACATTAAGTGCCAACAGTAATAGTAAATGGAGATGATTATTGATACTAAACTAGAACATACAAGCTTGTCACTCTTAAATTAACAACACTAAGGACATTGGACTAAACACTATACAAAATTTTAAAAAGACTTACAGTCCCTGAACACTAGAATTTTACAATATATATACATATGACTTGTAACAAGCAACGCATATACCTGATTCCTATTTCGGAACTTCTTTTGTGTGTGTTTATTGAAAGGTCAAGCTCCCGGATTCTATTTCAGCCAATCGGGACCCAGATCCTACTCCAGCCAATTGGGACCCGGATCCTACCTCAGCCAGTCGGAGCTTGGACTCTCTCCTCACCAGTCAGCAAGAAGCCTACCAACCACCCTTATACACTGCCAACTGACCAGAGCCATGACCTCTCACCCCACCAACTACCCCTAGACCCAGCCAATTGGCCAAGGCCACACCTCTCACCCCACCAACCACCCCTAGATCCCCAATAAAACCTTTGTACTTTTGAAACTCGTTCTTTCTCTGTCATCTTGCTACTGCGTTGGTGCAGATGAGAGACTGAGCTCAAGCTAGCTTGAATAAAGGCTCTTTGCTTTTGCATCGGTGTTGGTTCCTTGGTGGTTTTCTGGGATTCGCGATTTTGGGCACAACATTTATTATTTTACTGAAGTATAGTTGATATATATTATATTGGTTTCAAGTAAACAATAGTGATTCAACATTATTGTTGAATACAGTGATTAATAAATAATACAGTGATGACACACATTATTAAATCCTCACCACAAATAGTGCAGTTACCATCTGTCAACATAGAAAGATATTACAGAATCAGACTATATTCTCCATGTTGCACTTCCATTCCAATGACCAACTTATTATGATTGAGTTTTGTGCTTCTTTATCTCCCCACCCACCACATTTCAGAACTTTATTTACACACCCAAATCATTACAGAACTTTCCAACTGACCCCCTTACTCCAAATTATCCTAAAACAAAGACTCTATTATTTTCCTTAAGAATATTTTTTAAGTCATTTAGTCTACTGTAATGAAAACGCCTAAATGCAAGAATTTTCAAGAGTCCCCTCAATCCTCTTTGTTCTCTGTCCTATCTTGCTCTTATCAATCACAATTACTCTTTAAATATGGTACCTAATTTCAGGGTTTAAAATCCAGCAGAGGAGATAATGAGACAGGGACCATAGACGTAGTCAGAAGAGAGTGAAGGCCTCCAGAGGGGGCAGGGCAGGATATTTGCAGTCAGAGCAATGTAACTACATGCAAGGAAACCCCCCCTGCTAAAACTCTATGTTAAACATTGAGCTCTAGAATCATTCTTCAGTGAAATCAGTTAATGTTCCCCAGATAAAGAAGAGTAGCACATGTTTTATTATGCTAATCATTTGTAACCATGTGTAAGATTCACTTTAGCATGCTAAAAGGCCCAGGCCCATGTGCTGTCTTTTCTCCTTCAGATCTGACAAGGTGATTCTGCAAACTGAGCAACTAAGCATGCAGACCCAGCTGTAGACAGCATAGTAAAAGGCAAGAAGAATTCCATCTTAAAGATAAGATTGCATTTTAACACCCAGGAAGTTCAAGAGGCAAGATTCTTTAGCAAGTAGACAATACCTCAGCCCACCTTGGGGGCTGGGCAGGCAGCCTTTTGATGTGCTCCCAGACCAAGGCACCAGTGTCCCAGAGAGAAATCAAGGCAGGAAATTCCTTATGTTAAGTTAATTTTTAATATTCAGGGACCACTTAACAAGTCCACACCCCTAAGTTTTTCCATGTTCTCGAAAAATCCTCAACTACCTATAAAACGCCCTAGACAATGCACCACTACTGACTCTCTTGTCCCCTCCTGGCATGAGCCGGGAGCTCTGTCCTTTCACTTTATCTCTAATAAAAGCCTGTGCCTTGCTCTCCTACCTTGACTGTTTGTGAAGCTCATTCTTCGGCTCCACAAACAAGAATTCCAGCATCAGTAAGTCACACAGAAGTTAGACAATAACATTTAGGTTTTACTGTGATGATGATGATGACCACTGTGGTGGTGGTGATGATGGCATCAGCTAACATATAGTGAACGCTTCTGACAAAACAGGCTCTTGCAATATATTATCTTAAAAGAGATCTTCATAATAATTGCATGAAGCATTTACTATTTATACTCATTTTACAGATAGGAAAACTAAGGGACAGAATTAACCAACTGTGAATGTCACACAGTAAGTGACTAAGCCATAAGCACCATTTTAAGATATAAAATGGAATAGAAGTATGAGTCCAAAACAAACTCTTTATGGTCAGTTATTTTTAAACAAGGGTACCAAGAAACCATTCAATGGGGAAAGAACAGACTTTTCAAAAAATGGTGCTGGGACACATGGATATCCATATGAAAAAAGAATGAAGCAGGACCCCTACCTCACAATATATATAAAAATTAAATTAAGTCACAGACTTAAATATAAGACCTAAAAGTAAAAAACTCCTAAAAGAAAACATAAACGTAAATCTTCATGAACCTTGGGTTATACAGTGGTTTCTTAGATATGACACTGAAAGCATAAGCAATCAAAGAACACATTGGACCCCATCAATATAAAAAACTTTTGTGCTTCAAGAACACCATCAAGAAAGTGAAATAACAGCCAAAAGAATGGAAGAAAATATTTACAAATATATCTGATACAGAACTTATCCAGAATATATAAAGAACTCTTATAACTCAATAATAAAAACACAAATAAGCCAATTTTTATTGGCTACGGGATCTGAATAAACATTTCTCCAAAGAAGATACTACAAATGGCCAATAAACACATGAAAAGACAGTATCATTAGTCATTAGGGAAATGCAAATCAAAACCACAGGAGATACCACTTCTTACCCACTAGAATAGTTACAAACAAAAAGATGTTAATAGCAAGCATTGGGGAGAATATGGAGAAATTGGAATCTTCATATATTGCTAATGGGATATAGCTGTGTAGCCACTTTGGAAAACAGTTTGGCAATTCCTAAAAAGCTAAGCACAGTTACCACATGACCCAGCAATTCTAGTCCTATGTATATACAGAATTGAAAACTTATGTCCACACAGAAACTTATAAATGAATATTCATAGCAGCATTATTCTTAGTAGACAAAAAGTTGAAATGAATGGACAAATAAAAAATGCAACCATAAATGGAATATTATTTGTCAATATGAGGAATAAGGTACTGATAGAGACTACAACATGGATGTGTAGGATCTGAAGAATCAAAAGTTAGCATAAGTACAGCCATCTTAAGGCCTAAATACCACCCCCTAACCCAGAAGAAGCAAAATCATTAGAATCTTGAAAAACAAGTTAGTTAGCCTGTGTCAATTGTAGTGACCTTTCTGTGTCAATTGTAGTGACCTTTAGTTAGCTAACCGTAAATCAGTTAATCATATATGCCTAGCTTATCTTACTAGAACCACCCTAGACATTCCGTAGGTGATCTCATCTAATCAGACCCCAGGATGTGGCGCCAGCAAAAGATTTATGAGCCTATAGAAAAAACTCTGTATTGTGATTATGGAAAATTTTACCCCTTTTGAAAATACTATAAAACCTTCTGCCTTAGTGTGCTCGGGGTCCTCGTTGAGACCTGCTGCGATAGGCTGACTTGGACCCCAACTAGTTAGCTTCCGAATAAATTCCTCTTGCTTGTTGCATCAAGAAACATCTTTGGTGAGTGATTTAGGGCGGCGCCTTCCTCAGGGGAATCCAACACTATGGTTCATAATAACAAAACATATGAACCAAATGATGGTTCAAAATAACAAATTACTCTCAGGGAGCTTGGAATCTAGTGGGGAAGACAAACATGTCAATAAGTAGGTTCAATAAATAACAGAATTGTACAAGGTCCAGTGCAGCCCTGTGTTAGGGTGGTTAATTCTACCTGGACCTGAAATGGAAAAGATTTGTACAGAGTGGTGCCATCCAATACAACTTCCTACAGTGATGAAGGTTCCCCATCTGCATTGTCCAGTAAGACAGCCACATATGACCACTGAGCATTTGAAATGTGTTATCATGACAGAGAAACCCAATTTTTTATCTCACTTAATTTTAATTAACATAAACTTAAGTTTAAGGAGCCACATGTGACTAGTGGCTACCATACTGGATAGTACAGTGATGGAAGGTTCTGTGTGAGTTATTTTTGTCTTCATTCTCATTTCTTAAGCTTTAAATCTGTATATATGCCTGAGGCCTGGATGCAGCTCTCAAATGTGAAGAAGAAGTTCACACCCATTTAACAGTCTGTCCTCTGTTTAATTTGAAGAAAAA